ACACTTGCCATATTTTTGTGCACAAGTAATCTTCATTATCCATGGCTGTATCAAATGTTTTCCAACAGTAGTGTGCCACTGATGTTCATATCCTTTAGAGTGCAGTACCTATTTGACTTCTACTGGCAGGATAAATAGTTTGCCTGATCCTATATAATCACGACAACCAAGATTAATTAAAATGCCAAGATAGGAAACAATTTATTATAGAGAGAAGAAAAATTTCTCATCCAAAATATAGAAATCTGTACAACTTTGCCACAATCAATATACATGAACTGTACAAATTTACACCAGTTCATAATTTATGAAATAAAAGATGACTAACAAAGTTCACAAAATAGATGGTGGTTTGTGGAAAGACTTTTACCCAATTACATACAAGGAAATTACAAACCAGACCTCCACTTTCTAAAAATAAGAAGTTTACTCAGTCTTAGAAAACTACAAGCTAGCAATGTACAGACAGCTGGCTGGTGCTAACACCACAGTTCAGACAGTGTCTTTATATGGTCTTTTTAAAGCCTGTTGCCATGGCAGATTCTGGTCACTTGTTTTTTCAAGGCCAATACACAATATGAAGATCTGACCATTTTCCCAGGTCATGCTTACCAGTTGTTTTATGTACATTTATACATACTGTAAGTGCTAGGTAAAAGTTTGAGAAAATTTCCAGTACTATCATGTTTATAACAAGTGTTATTCTTGAGCTGCCAAAAGTGTAACAATTTGTAAATGTAATAGTGCAAATTCTCTGCAAGACCAACTGCAGAGAGCAAGTTTATAAATAGAGATTTGGATTGAAATAATTTGTGTAAAATTAAGATGTCTGGGAGAAACTGAAACCTTCCTAGACTTCCTCACTCCCTAGCAAATGAAGTGATCATTCTGACACTCAGGCTATTAAATCACTGAAAAGGTACTGTCCAAACTACGGCACTGTCACTTGAAAGTTTACCATTACTGTGTGCCAGATCTTCACAGCTGTGACATGGTTTAAATTCCATAATCCATCCCCAGAGGAGCCCACCCAAAGTAAAAAACAATTTTATCCATCCATTTTAAGGTGATCCATCCATAGACTATATCTTAACCTGATACAGTCATCATAGTGTAGTTTTTGGAAGGGCTTGTTCTGCCCAAGAGAAGTTCCTCCTTACAGCTTATTCTGCTGTCTACCATTTGCATGTTGGTGTTATTTTGGCTACCTCCTGTTGGTGCAGCTTCATACAGCACACAGATTGAGCCATCCTCTCCGATGCGATAGGAGACTTCATACGGGTCAACCCACAGTGTGAGTTCACTTGGAAGAAGCCGGAACAGTTCCTGACTGCTCAGTCCAATCCGCTGTGCCGCTTGTCCAATCAGAGGATCCATTTTATGGTTGATCCGGATGCAACGGTAACCTGATCCCTTGCATGGCTTTTCTGGGAACCAGTGATGTTTATAATGTTCTACAGAATAAGAAAAAAGATTGTGCTGCTTAGCTCTAGACAGTGTCAGAAAGGTGTACTAAGACTTCATATTCTCCAGGTTCTCCCCCTTCCCCATTTCACACTTAAAGTAAAAAGATTTGATTTTTTCAGCTCAATAAAGAACTAACATTGTCAAAACGTCTAACATTACTATAAAATGTCAAACCTGAAAGTGAAAAACCAAAATAAAATACTAAATAGACTGGGAGATAGTTTACACTACTAAGAGTTCATGGGGCAAGTATTTTTCATGGGTTAATGGCAAGTGAGTCATTGCTTTTGTACAACTTAAAAGTTATTCTAATACTCCATGTAATGTGCATCAATATTATAAGTACAAGTATTATATTGCAAAGACATATCAACTTGATTATATATAAAGCAATAAAGTTTTATGGGCTTCAGTTAGCTCAGATTTATTAACATTCTTAACTTTTGGAAGAAATATACATTTAAGTAGAAACTTGAAAAACATCAGCGTTTTTCCCCCCTTTGCAAGTACTGGGAAAAGCAGACTGGTCACATTTTATTGGCAATTTTTGTAAAAAATGAAATATATGTCTGAATGTCCATCTTACTACATCCTCTCTATTTCTATATTGCTTAAAAGTTTACATTCTGATACCGCTACTCACCAACAAGTATCTGGGTAAGGCCACCAAAGTGTAACCAGGAGTATCAGAAATTGGCCCTTACACCAGAAGGGGGAAATCATCCTCATTTCCTTATGTTTGTGTACTAGGTGCTATACAAAGGATCGGCAAACTGACTCACGAGCCTTTGTATGGTACCACAGAAACCATTCTATGGTGCAGTTTGACAAATAAGTCTTGAAGGAACCTCTCATTTCTGTAATTTTTAGGGTATAAAAAAATGAAACACTTAACACTTGAAACTGGATGGGGTTTGGTGTTTTCAGCTCCTCACAAAATCCTAATTGCTTTGGGAGCATCTGTGTTTTTCTGTGTCCAAGCAGTTTTTCATAAACTGAAGATGCTTCATAGACTCTCAGACTTTAAGGTCAGAAGGGACCATTATGATCCTCTAGTCTGATCCCCTGCACAGTGCAGGCCACAAAATCTCACCCACCCCTCCTAGAATAATCAGTTTAACCACTCTTCCCCCTCCCACCACCACCTTTGTAAGCAGCCAGGGAAGGGCCGTGGCTTCCCTTATTTAAGAACTAGGTCACTGGATACACTACTAGCAACCCGAGCCCAGGACACGCGCGGTTCGTTGACTACGCCATCACAGGGCGGCTTTTTAAAAGCCATTCCCGTGTGGGACGGAGCCCCGCGTTGCAGGACAGTGCGGCGCTCCCGAGCGCTCGTTTCTTCCCGCAAGCCAGACACTCTCACTCGGCAGGGCCTTTGTCTCGCTACAGAGGTAGATTCAAGGCCCGGCTTTAGGAACCGGAAAGCGGCGGCGGGCAAGGGCGGGACGGGCGGCCGCGCTACCGTCCCGGGGGAAGAGGCAAGTCGAGCAACTGGGGCTTGTCAAACACTCGGGGGCAAACGGAGCTTGGTGGGTGGGGAATAAAGGGGATCCCGGGTCCCCTCTCCCCCCTCCCAACAGCTGAGGTGGGGGAAGGGACCCAGTGTGGGGCGCTCCCAAGGGACGCGCACTGCGCCCAGCAGCGGAGACCGGGCACCACGCACGTCCCTTGGTCCGGAGGAACTTGGAGATGAAGGCCACGGCCGCGGCGATCTCGCGTATCATGCTGGCCCGGGTGTACAGGGCGGGATGCATGGGGGCGGCTGGCGCGGCGCTAAGGCGGGGACGAGAGAGCAGCGCGCCCCAGCCCCCATCATTGTGACGCATAGTTCGCGAGGGCGGGGGCCGGGGAGGGGTGACGTAATCTGACTGTAAACAAATACAGCCTGGGAGCTGAGTGGCGCTGGGAGGCGGCAGCTGCCTGGGAACAGAGCGTCTGGCGCAGAGAGCAGGGGGAGGGGCAGGTCCAATAGACACACATCTATAAGCTACAGCTCAATAAAGGAGAGGCTTAGATTGTGACGCATAGTTCGCGAGGGCGGGGGCCGGGGAGGGGTGACGTAATCTGACTGTAAACAAATACAGCCTGGGAGCTGAGTGGCGCTGGGAGGCGGCAGCTGCCTGGGAACAGAGCGTCTGGCGCAGAGAGCAGGGGGAGGGGCAGGTCCAATAGACACACATCTATAAGCTACAGCTCAATAAAGGAGAGGCTTAGACACGTCAGGACTTGTACCTTGAGCTTAGGGATTGTGAAGAGCCCCTGCGTCTCAGCATGCACACTAGTGTCTTCTCTATACATGTATACAAAGTGAGAGCTATTCCCACAAACAGGACTACTATCTACAGGGAGGCTTGATGCTATCGAGTATCAATCTATTTACAAAAAAATCATCTACTGGATAATGTATTATTCATACACAGAGAGTTCAATATCTGTATATAGCTCTGTAGCTAGAGAAAAAAATGATGTACCCACATATCAAGATAGATTTAGTGCCTGCATGCAGAAATATATCAGCACATATAGAAAATACATGTGTAGATAGAAACAATCTTATATACGCACACACGGAGATACACTTGCTAACACATATGCAATCTGTATATAGGTCTCAGTTATCACATTTACATTTAGCAATGGAAATACCTACCCAGACAATATAGATTCAATATATATGTACTCACAAAGATGTTTGCATGTATACAGATAATTTATATGTATGTAGAGAGAGAATTATCTATTTGCATGGAAGCATAAGCATATCGCAAGTTGCCAGGCATTCAGTTTTCTCTCACACACACACTCTCCCTCTCTCTCAAGTTGCCAACTTCCTGCTCCTGTCCAGAGCCTTCTCCCACACCCCAAATACCTCATACCGAGCTGTACCCCAGAGCCTGCACATCCAACCAGAGCACCCACCCCCTCCCACACTTCAACCCCCCCGCCTCAGCCCAGTGAAAGTGAGTGCGGGTGGCAGAAAGGGAGAGAGAGCACAGGACAAGGCCTGGGAGAAGGGCTGGGCCCTTGATAGAGAGGCAGAACAAGGGGGCAGATAGGAGAGTTCAGTTCTGAGTGAGTAGAAAATTGGCAGTCCTAATACACACAACACTCTTGAACTCTGGTCATGTTTATTGGTTGTCTGTTCCTGTGCTTTGATTCTTAGTAAAAGCAGGTGTGGCATTTATAATAAACATTGTGTGCACAAGTACTGTATAAAGCAGTGTAAATTAGTTTGGGTGTAAGACTGAAGATGGCTCTGTGAGATCCTATAATGTTTAGAAAAATTTGAATGAAAAAGTGAGCTATCTTGTAAGTATTTGTTCTAAGACTGGTAATAATTGAAGTTACAGAATTTATGCCTATATGTGTGTTTTATATGATGTTTATGATCAGAGTTAAGGCTGCCCATTGTTTTTTTAGGGTGAAACAAGAGAGATGCTGGTTGTGAGTGGTAAAAGAGAAGCAGTTGTTATAGAAAGAGGAACTGGTTAGGGTATAGATAAATGACTTAAATGTTTCTTTTGTGCTTTTTCCAGTTTTTGCTGGAGGACTATGCAGTCTAGCAACTTGAAACCAAAATTACTTTTTTTGTTTGGGGATTTCCCAGCTTTCTAAATAAACATGTCCGAGTGCCAATATTTACTCACACTGATAGCTGTTAAGGTTTATATAGATTATCTCTGATGATTTTCTTGCAGAGCCCCAACAAACTCCCATTCCAGTGTCCCCTACCGCTCCTCTTCTGGTCCCTGCAGAAATACATTCTTCCTCAGGTCCCCTCTTCTCTACCCCCATTTCTGAATTATTATTTAATAGAGAGTAGAAGCATTTCCAAGCACCTAGGACTCCTGTGCAGGACCCAGAACCCCATGGTACAAACAGAAATGAAAATGATGGTTCCTTGCCCCAACGAGTTTATAATCTGTACAAGAAAAGAGACAATTAATGGAAATGGGTAAACAAAAGAGTACAGTGAAAAAACGAGACGATACTGGTCAGCATTAGAGGCAGTGGGCTCAGCACACCAACATAACAATTGTCAATTTTTTGTAGGCATCATGGCAAACGAGAGTTTCCTGGAAATATTTAAAGGAGGATAATGAGGTGATTGTACATTGTTAAAAGGGAGTTTCTCCTAAGCGAGTAGGGCAGCTCACAGGATAGCACAAAGATGCTTTTTTGAAAGTTTAACTGGTGAACGACAGTGGTTGGCATCATTCGCCAGCCAGAGATGGGAGTCAACATTTTTGTGTTGTATCACCCGGAGCAACCTTACTTCCAGACATTAATATTTCACTATGATATGCTTTTCACTTATCCAGGTTACCAGCAGTACCCTGTGCTTCCATGCCCCTTTTTTTAAACAAGGGAGATTGTCGATCTTTAGTCACATTTAGAATGACCCAGGTTGGATAAGGACCTGGAGCATGTAAGGCCTTCTTCCTTCCTGGGGCAGAGAGGAGGAGTTCAATGAGGGAGAACAATTTCAAATGGCCCTCCAACTTGCCAGAGATGGCAGTGTTGTTAAGATCAGAAGATTTGTTACGTTTTGGGTACATAGTTTAGTTTGCTTGCTGGCATTTAAGTTTTAAGGTCCCTAATGAATTGCAGTCACTGCCTTTATTACTTATATCAAGTGTATTGCCAAGTAGTCAATAATCATGAGTCAGCTCTCCTTCCGCCCACCCTCAAAATATGAGATTATCTTAAAAAGCATTTTTTTTTTTTCAAAAAGAATGTGGATTTTTTTTTTGTTTTGTTTTTCTTTGGGTGCACTTGGGACATACTTTTAAGCTTTTTTTTTTTTTATGCCTGTGAGGACTAGAAACCTCCCCTTTTTAATAACAGCAATTTTTGGCATAGAAGTTGCCCATATTTATCCCCCTCCATCCAAGACATTATGAACTTCATGCTGTTTCTACCATATCTAATATTTTTAAAAACAGACTTACATAGAGTCTTGTTATGGACCTGGAGTCTTTAGAGTAATGCATGTTTGCTTAAGGAAACAAATAAGAGGCATGTATCATTTTTCTTACAAGAGATTTTTTTGTTTGGGAAATAATTTCTACCAGAATAAGGAAATACAGGGAAGTGCTATGGTGCTGCAGGTTTTATATAATATCTTGTTAAAACCTTTTGGAGTAGTGAACAATTAAGTATATTTTCACCAAAACAATGCAATCACAGTTGTGCCGATATTTTTAATGCATTTGTCACTGATCTACTAAAGAAACAGGAATTGAAAAATCATTGGTGATTGTTACTGAAAAATTGCATATATTCCTGAGATTGATGAAGTCCTCTTCTGAAATATATTGTGTGCTATGTGTAAGAAACAATATATGTTAGCAATCCATTCTTATTATCGAAAAAGGTATTTTTAGTGTAGGTTGTATTACAACATTAGAGCTATTAATCATACTTTTTAAAACCTATGACAAGGTCTTATTTCCTTCAAAATAGAATCAATTGTTTTCTATGATATGTAAGATTTTTTGAGTTATCTTAATCCTTGTGTAACCACCACCAGGTGGATTTGAATCTGGGACCTCTGAAGCTTAGTGTAGCAGCCTCTGACTCATTGAGCTAAAAGCCAGCTGGCGCTCACCCATGCTTTGGAGGTCTCTGGTGCTTATCTGTTGCTGTGGTCTAGGTGCCACTGTGTGGGACAGTGACCCACAGTAGGGCTTTGTCTATAATGCAGGCTTCTTGCGCAATAACTGTTTTGCGCAAAAGTTTTGCACAAAAGGTCTTGTGCACAGTGGTGGCCCGTCAATACAGGCAAACTAGGCGGTCGCCTAGGGCACCAAGATAAATGGCCATTGAGGGCTTTGGAGGTGGGGGCGCCGATCGCGCATTTCGCCTAGGGCACCAGTTGCCGGCAGCTTGTCTAGGGCCACTCCTGCTTGCGGAAGAGTGTGTCCACAGAGTCATGGGCTTTTGTGCAAGAGCATCCATGGCAGAGTGGACAGGCAACAGTGGTTTCTTGCACAAGAGAGCATCCACATTGCCTTCTTGTGCAAGAAGACTTATTCCTTGTGGGGAGAGGACTAACTCTTGTGCAAGAAGCCCTCTGTTCTGATACTTTACTGTACATTTACTTGCACAAGAATATGTCTGCAGTGTAGATGCACCACAAGTTTTTGCACAACAACAGCTGTTCTTGTGCACGAAGCCTACAGTGTAGACATAGCTTAGGTGTGTGGGTTATGTACTTCCCCTAGGTATGGAAGCACATTCTTAGCTTCAGTTGAGATCCTGGAAAAGCCCCCACTTGTAACTGCTACCAGGCAGATTTGAAGCTTAGGACTGCTGAAGCTTAGTATAGGAGCCTCTACCCTTTGAGCTAAATGCCAGCTTGCGCTCAACCTATGCTATAGAGGTTTCTTGCTCTTATCTGTTGCTGTGGTCAAGTTGCCACTGCATGAGACAAAGAACCATGCTAAGAGTGTCTGTTACATTTGCTGTAGTGGGGAACATGTAATTGGCATCTCTGCAGTAAGGTGGTGATGAAGGATCTTAAGCTTGGGCTTCAGGCCTTTCTCTCAACCTAGTATCACACTATGAAATACAACACTGTTAGTCTCCAAAGTGCTGCAGGACAATTCATTGTTTTTTAACACTGTAATAGTTACTTGGTGTTTAGTTTACTTTTGAAAAACGGTTGATTGCTCTAACTCCCCCACATTCTCCCAATATGGAGATGTCTTGCTTACAATAGCATGTGATAGTCTAAGGCTATGTCTACACTACAAGTTTTTTCAGAAGAAAATATGCTAATAAGGGGCTCATTAGCATAAGTCACA